AACCACTGCATATTAAATAGGATTGCCTGATCTCAGGACATGTGCTGAAATCTCTGGTAACAGCTATGCTTCTTCAGGTCTCCAGGTGAGGAGGCAGAGCTGTTGGTGAGCTACGCCGAAGAATGAAGTCTTGGTTTTGTGTTCGAGGTGACTTTAAAACCTGGATACCTCTTTCTACCCATTTGCAGGTGGTGGTAAGATCTCCCAGTTTATCATGAAGATGTTTGTATGTGTTCGGCTTATGCACAAGCAGCATATCTAAAAGCCAAAAGTGAATAGAGGGTATGCATAGGGACAGACCTGGTGGGTGCATGCAGTTCAATAGTAATAATGTGCTGTTCAGTCAATTCTAACTTAAGGTGACCTTTTTCAGGGTTTTCCAGGTACAGAACACTCAGAAGTGGTTAACCATTCCTTTCTTCTACGGAAGTGTGGAATTGTGCAGCTTGCCCAAGGCCACACAGGCTGGCTCTACTCACAGGAAGCACAGGGGAACTCAAACTCCAAACCACTTACTCCATAGCCAGATACCTAAACCATCATGCTATCCAGCTAGCTGATGAACAATATGCCAGGGAGAAAACCTCCTTGACTGAATTCTTATTGAGCAGTTAAGCAAAAGGTATAAATTTTAGAACCAAATTGCTGTAAGTTAAGAAATCCTCATGGACATTGTTTGTTGCATGCTGAATTATGCCAATGCATGTTGCAGCAATTCACTTACAAAAGTTACACTGTTTGCATAACTGCACAACAGGATTTCAGCCATAGAATATTGAAGGGGGTCCCTTGGTGCTCATGCAGAATGCAGAACTTTAAAGGTTAATCTTAATTTGAAGTCTGGTAGTTTTACCTTTATAATGCAAGGTTGAAAGATTTTAAACTAACCAGTCACTAGGATGGCTTGGCATAGGGTTTGTATCTTTGCATCATGATGGTGGCCTTTCCATATGACTGCACAGAAGCTCCTTATCTATTCTGGAAAACAGAGTGTTGACTCCCTGGAAATATTTTTGGGATTCATTTGGGAATCAGTAAATTTAAATGGTGGAGGGCAAGGGAATGTGCCTGTAAGAGCTATAGAGGGAAGGACAGGGAATGGACTTTTGACAAATTCATGTAACTGCTTTCTTCTTTCAAAACAGACACAGAGAGAGTTTTTTTTCCTTTAGAGATTTTTCTACTTTTTTCCGGATAAGACTTGATAGTAGTCCCTTAAGTTAAAACAGCAATTTAGCATCCACTTCACTGTTAAAAACTTGATCCTTCCAAGTTTAATTCAACTGGAATAGATTTGGGGGTCTTATTAAAAGTTGACTGAATGGTTAACTTTACTTTTTTCTGATTAGAGACCCTCCTCTCATTTGTCCTCAGTATTTTTAATCAGATGAATTCTGCCTCAGAATTAAGGTGTCTAGATGCTCTGTCTTGGGCAGCAGAATGTTTTGGTAAAAAGATGTGAGATCATTAAAAATGGCAGCCCTGCCAGTTCTCTGAAGAAGCTGTGTCCCCTTAGGACCACAGAGTCTCCTTCTGTTTCATGTGTAAACTGGGAGTCGGCCATTTTACAGATGTATTGCAACCTAAGGGCCACACTCATTAATGGGTAGTGCCGAAGACAATCAACATTTAGGGGCTATGGTTGTGGCAACGTGGCAAGTTTCCCCTTATAACCCTAGAAGATATAAAGAGAGTTCTGAAAGATAATTTGTTTAAAAGGCAACTTAAAATACTTGTGGAGTGAAGGGAGTAGGGAAACTTCTAGGGGAATTCTTAGGATACCAGTTCCCCCCCAAAATGCTTATTTATTTATTTATCTACCTTTTACCTGTAGAGGGGCTCAAGGCAGCCTAGAAATAATTTTAAAAACACAAATATTAGAATAATTACAAATATAATAAATTACAGTTAAGAACAATTAAACATATTAATTCTTAAAAGGTGCTGAACAGAATCCCTGAAAAACAATTTAAAAAAACATTTAAAAGATAAAATTGCAACTCCTCCTCTTAAAATATTTTCTTTTTCTTTCTTTCTTTTTTGGGGAGAACTATTTAAATTGTTTTTTCTTAAACTGCAACATAAACATAAAATACATAAACCAAAATACAAATCAACTGTGTTTCCCACCACCATACTCAGGACCTCCTGCAGTAATCCTCTTCTTCCTCTATCTTTCTTCTTCTTCTTCCTTTATTGTCCTTTTCTCCAGAAATGCATTGATTCTTGATTTGGAGCTTTCCATCTTCCTCTTGTTGACACATATTCAAGAAATCTGCTCCATATATCATAGAAATTGTTCATCTCTCCTTTCTTAACCTTTAAGTTACAAGTTAACATCATTTATAGCAATGTTCCATATTTCATTATACCGTTCTTCGACTCAAAATTCAGGCTTTGATTTCCAATTTCTAGCTATTATTAATCTGGCTGCTGTTAATAAATTGGTAATCAATTCTCTAGTCATCTTATCATATTCCATATTCTCAAATATTGATAACAGAGTTATCTCAGGATTAAATTCTATATCTTTTTCAGATATGTCATTTAGTTCTTTAAAGATTAGTTTCCAAATTCTTTGTACTTTTTCACATTCCCACCACATATGAAAGTACAGTGGTGCCTTGCATAGCGATTGCTTCGTTTTACGACGAAATCGCTTTGCGACGGACTTTTTGCGATCGCAAAAGCGATCATTTTGCGATGTTCCCTATGGGGGAATTTCGTTTTGCGATGATTGGTTCCCTGCTTCGGGCACCGATCATCGCAAAGCGATGATTTTTTAACAGCTGATTGGTCATTTCAAAATGGCCGCTGGGTAAACAAAATGGCTGCCCGCTGTGTTTAGGGACTGATTCCCGCTTTAGAGGCATCGAAAATGGTGGTGCTATGGAGGATCTTCGCTGAACGGTGAGTTTTAAGCCCATAGGAACGCATTGAAGGGGTTTCAGTGCATTTCTATGGGCTTTTTAATATCGCATAGCGACATTTTCGTTCTGCAGTGATTTTTGCAGAACAAATTATTGTCGCTATGCGAAGCACCACTGTATGTACCAATTTCCTTCTCACAGTTCCAACAGACATTCAGATAACTAGCCTTAATTTTATTAAGTTTTCTCGGTGTCAAATACCATCTTAAACCCAATTTGAAAAAAATCTTCTCTTATTCTCACTGGCATATATCGTAAAACCCTCATTTTCCACATCTTCCTCCATTCTTCATCATTTATTCTTTTTCCTAAGGCTTGTTCCCACACTAACTTCAATGCTTCTTTCTCAGTCTCTTCTTCTTCTAGATCAAGCAGGAATCTATAAATTTTACTCACTGCATTCTTTACTGAATCCATCATCTGAATATCTTCATACGATAATAGAAATTGTTCTTACTTTGTATATTCTCTACCTTTATTATACTTCTTTACCCATTCATTAGTCCATCTTTCTAATTGCATACAGTATAATTCAACCATGATATATTCTTATTTTGAAGGATTTGTTTCATTTGTTCTTTCGATCTTGTTTTATACAACCAGTCTTTTAATCTAATCACTTTTTTTTCTTTAAATAATTCTGCATAAACTTTCATATTGGCAGAAAAATTCTCTATTTCAGTCACTAATCCTAAACGGAGAGTTAAAAGGACATAAATTCTTTCTATACTTGTACCAGATGTTTAACATAGTCTTTAAAAATGGGATATTAATTTCGCTTGTTTTATATTTCTTAATCATGCCAAACAGATGTTTTTCAATATGCTTCTTAATCATACCAAATAGATGTTTTTCATTATCCACCTGTAATTCTGACGGTTCCATTTCCCACCAAATTAACCTTTCTGGGTTATATATAATTCACCCAATGAATCTCAACTGATTAGCCAAATAATGATTTTTTTATATTTGGTATGCCTATATCTCCTTTTTGCTGTTGTTTCATACCAATACTTTTTAGTTATTCTGGCTCTCTTCTCTTCATATAATGTTTCCCTCAGCAACACTTTTCATGTTAAAAGCCTGCTTGATATGAAGAGTCTTTACCTGCTGGGAGGATAACAGGTGGGAGCAGCCCTGTCTACGTATAACCTGGGAACAGCCACCAAAAAGATTCTACTCCATATCAATGGGAAGTGTGCCTGTGAGGGCAGTGGGAACAAGAAAACATCCTTTCATGAAGATCTTTAAACCCACATAGGCTGATACAAAGAGACCTGGTCCCCCAAATAGCCTGGATCTAAGTTATCTAAAGCCACCACTCAGAATTGTGCCAGGAAATGGATGCAATGTAAGTGGGGGAGTCTGGCTGCAACATCCTGTACCCAATGAAGTTTCCAAACACTTACGAAAGGAGTGTCCCACTTAGAGGGAATAGCAGCAATCCAGATGAGATGCAATTGAGGCATGTGTTGCCACAGCCAGATTAAAAATGACTTTGAGAAGGCTGCAAATATTGTAATATTTTCTTCTAAGAAGTCCCTGATTGTTTGGCCCCTTTTTTCATCTACTGTTCTAAATCAAGAGGGAGCCTTGTGGCATTTTATGGTCTAGAGCTGACTTCACTCTTACGCAGGGAGATGCTTCTCAGTACGTGGCCACTGTGTGGTTGCTATTTTCCTGTCCTAGCTGGGCCAGAGGCGATTTCTTTCTCAATTTCTCCCACTTGTTGGAGTGCATCAACAGCTGTGTCTTTACTCAACTTCTCATGCAGAAACTTCCGTTTCCTCATTAGGGCGGAGCCATCATAACCACAATCCTACACAAGAAGCATGATTTCCTACCAGAGCGCATCTGCCAATCTGAAGAGGCAGAAAAGGAGTGCGGTTGACTAGTGCATTTGCAAAAGTGAGTTCTGTATATACATATGTTAAAGTGGCTTTAAGGCAAGAATGAGGCAACTCTCAATTTTTAGTTCCCAATTTGGGAAGGGGGACGCCACCCTTGTGGGCATGAATAAATTCTGGGGGTGGGGGTGGGGAGAATATTCCATAAAGAATATTTGTTTATATCAAACAAATTTCATTGCTAGAATTTGGGATTTCATTAAAAATGTGCATTTTTAAAAAATTTGAAACATTGTTCATTGTGAATTGAATTTTCTTGTTGTAAGTGGATTAGATGGTGGTAATGTGAGGTGGAGAGCCATGAGGATTTCTAAAAAACCAAAAAGGGGGCACTATCTGATGCTTAAAAGTTTTTAAACTACTGTTCTAGCTACTGTTGGGTTACAACTTCCAGTATCCATCAGCCTTGGCTATGTTGGCTAAGACTGATGGGAGTTGCAGTCCCAATAACTATCTGGAGAGGTAAACTTTACTAATTCCAGTGCGATGTTTCTGCTTTAAGAACATATTTGTTACGTAGCCACCTCCTTGGAAGGCATAAGATTTTCACATGTGAGAATCCACCTGAATAGTAGTTTTACTTTTCTCCTACACTGAACATGTGAAGTAAACCTTATCTTGGGAAAACCAGAAAAAGGAGTGTGTGTGTAGATCTGTGAATAAATCTGCTAAGTTTTATTGGCAAACTGGAGCTTGTCCAGAGTGGGGTAGCTCAGGTAGTGACACACCTTGATACCATGTTCTGTGATAAACAGTTGAAAGAGCTGGTTACATTTAGCCTGGGGAAAAGAAGGTTATGGATGGGTATGAAGGTGTTTTTCAAACTACCAGTTGGTCTCTGAAAATCTGTCATGCAGGACTAGAACCAGCCAACAGTTAAAGTCAGCAAGTTCATTCCAGCTAAATATCTGGAGATCTTTTCTAATGAAAAGCACTCTTTGGCAGGGGAAACAAAACTTGGAAACAACTTCCTACTGCTCCTTATGACCTAATGGCAACCACTTGTTAGATGTATCCTCATTCTCAGAGCTCTGGGGTGGGGTGGACTGCAACTCTCAGCATCCTCGCAATGACAAAATAGTGATTTTGCCAAGCTCTGATTGGAGCAGACGGGCTCCAGATCGCAAGAGGTATTTATGAAGAGGCTGGGTGGCTGGCCATCAGAGATGATCAAGTTGCCTCTTGGACTGGGGGTCAGAGCAGAGAGTCAGAGTAAGATTTTTTTTCTCACTTTGTGAGTATGTGGTCCTATAATGAAGTCCTCTGTCGCATGAATGAGAGAACAGAGCATATTGTCTAATAACAATGATTGCTGCAATGGATGCAGTTGCCAGTTTCATTTTTTTCCTTTCCAAGGAATAATCCTCAGACAAACTGTTTTCGAACAGAGGCCAAGAGATCTCCTGCTGTCGGAGAGCTGTGTGCGAATACAGTCTGGATTTCAGTTGGTATTTGAAGTATGAGAGTCCTGAACTGATTGGGACTTCAGCTAAGTTAATGATCATTTAATACTTGTATTTATAAATGAGGATAATTTATTTGGATTTTCAGAGGTGGAGCCATGTAGCTAAAAACAACAAAGAAGTTGATTGCACTAACATTGTGTGGCTTATCAAATTGCTTCTATTGTTATTCTTCGTTCCTGCGCAGTGATTTTGCCTCTCTGTTGGGTAAATAGGCAGAAATAATGTGGTATGGTGGGAAGAAGATTAGGGTTAGGACCCACCAGACATGGGTTCAAATTTGTAACCAGTCAGGGAAACTCACTGGAGGATGGCAATGATAAATCACTCTTTGAACATCTTATAGTGATGTTCTCCATAAGTCAGAAACAACTTGGTGCCATGAGACATTTTAGGGAAATGTTTCTCTGGTACAGTCACTCTGGCTGTTCCCAACTAGAGATGGGCATGAACCTCAGTTCCTTTCCCCCTGCCTCTCCAGCGAAATCTCCCACTCACCAGCAGGCGCACACTCCTCTCCTCCTCTTCGACTGTTTGACCAGTCTCTGGCAGAAGCACAGGTTACTCTGCCCCACCTCCTTGGCTGATTGTTCACTAAGAGGCAAGCCCGGCAAACTCGTGCTCCTGCCGGTGACTGGCTGAACAACCAAAGAGGAAGACGAGAGGAACGTACTCCGACTGGTGAGTGGGTGATTTTCAGAGGTGGAGCCATGTAGCTAAAAACAACAAAGAAGTTGATTGCACTAGCATTGTGTGGCTTATCAAATTGCTTCAATTGTTATTCTTCGTTCCTGCACAGTGATATTGCCTCTCTGTTGTGTAAATAGGCAGAAATAATGTGGTATGGTGGGAAGAAGATTAGGGTTAGGACCCACCAGACATGGGTTCAAATTTGTAACCAGTCAGGGAAACTCACTGGAGGATGGCAATGATAAATCACTCTTTGAACATCTTATAGTGATGTTCTCCATAAGTCAGAAACAACTTGGTGCCATGTGACATTTTAGGGAAATGTTTCTCTGGTACAGTCACTCTGGCTGTTCCCAACTAGAGATGGGCATGAACCTCAGTTCCTTTCCCCCTGCCTCTCCAGCGAAATCTCCCACTCACCAGCAGGCGCACACTCCTCTCCTCCTCTTCGACTGTTTGACCAGTCTCTGGCAGAAGCACAGGTTACTCTGCCCCACCTCCTTGGCTGATTGTTCACTAAGAGGCAAGCCCGGCAAACTCGTGCTCCTGCCGGTGACTGGCTGAACAACCAAAGAGGAAGACGAGAGGAACGTACTCCGACTGGTGAGTGGGTCTTTGGCCAGGGAGGCAGGGGAAAGGGAACATATAGCACGTGTAGTGCCACGTGTATGAATTGACACAAACCTTTGAACTGAGGTTGCTGTCCATCTCTATTCCCAACTAGAGTTAGATCCATTGAATGATATGTTAACACTAGTATAAATCCCACTGATTAAGTGGCTCTGGTCTTGTTGGGAATAACTGCTGCATTTAGACTGCTTTATTATTTGTTGCCGCTACAATTAAGCACAAGTTAAATGAACATTTTTTATCAGCTTACTATCTAAAAGTGTTTGAAGTTGGTAAACCATCACCTTTGATGGATGGTGGTGAGCCTCGTGGTGCAGTGGTTAAACCACTGTACTGCAGCCAAAACTGTGCTCACGACCCTGGGTTCAATCCCAGGTAGACGGCTCAAGGTTCACTCAGCCTTCTATCCTTCTGAGGTCGGTAAAATGAGTACCCAGCTTGCTGGAGGATGGGGTAATGTGTAGCCTGCATAATTAACTTGTAAACCTCCCAGAGAGTGCTTGAAGCGCTATGGGGCGGTATATAAGCAGCACGCTTTGCTTTTATATGGGTTATCTTTTTTAAATAAATCCTAAAGAGGCTTGGAGACTGGAACTTAGAATCAGAAGGAGAAATACGTTACATGAAATAATGAGAAAACAAAAATTTAGAAGGTATCGGTTCAGAGATCTCTGGATATTCAAGGTACAATTGGTTAGTCTCAAACTCCTTGTAACTGGGTGTAAAAGTCTTGTTAAGCTTCACTTTTAGAAATGTCAGGGCCTGGTTTTCTCATTAAATTTCTTAATGGCATTGAACTTAGTTATGTCTGAGCAGAACCCAGGAATTTCTTGTGTCTTTCGTTCTTGTTGAAGAGTAAATCAGATTCTTGTCTAGTTTCCTGAGCCAGATTTTTCCCAAACTAGGTTCTTTTGATCACACTGGGCTACAACTCTCACAGTCTGTGTCTCAGTTAAATTTTTCAGCACTATTTCCCTTGCTAAAGATTTAAAAAAAGGAAGGGGTCTGAACGATGCTAGCTTGTTTGTACACCACCCAGAGTAATGTGAATTCACTAATTGGTACATACATACATACATACATACATACATACATACATACATACATACATACATACATGGGGGTTATTTGGAGGGTGGTTATAATGACAGAAGTATGAAGGAGAAAGGGGCTATGTGACATGTGACACCTGAAATATCCGTTCTTGGAGTAATAAACATTTCTTTGTGAACAATTACAACAATAACAGAATTTCTAGGGCACAGTTCAGAGGAGTTCACAGGAACCCAGGGCAGGCTTTGTGAGGGTTCAGGGTCTGGCTCTAGTTTGTCTTCAAATAAATTGACAGACTTCCTTGGTTTAGAAATTGGTGTAACATTTATTGGATTGTTCAACAAATAACCTGTGTCAACGAAGTTATTCCAACCATTTCCTCCCTCTAACAACTGGTTAGATGGGGGCTTCCACTCTTCAACTTTAAAGGGGTTACACCCCTGAAGATTCTAGGGACTCGGCCAATCCAGTGTAAAGTCTGTGTTCAGTAATTGTCCTGTCTCCCCCTCCAGTAAGGGGACTGTGTCTTCATCCCGGTCATCTGTCCAAACCTGGTCTCCTGAGGGGGAATCCTCCGGCCATAGTCTTCCAAGGGACCCCTCCGCTGTAGCTTCATCATCCACCATTCCAGTCTTTCTCTCCTCTCCCTCTCCACCTTTTCCTTCTCTTCCCTTAACTTCCTTCTCCACTCTTTTGTCTCTCGTTCCCACTAATAAGATGGTTTAGGGGTGCTACAATTTGTGTCCCCCACTCCTTGACAATAGCACCAATACAAAGTTCAAGTATCCCTTTGGTTTCAAAGTGGGACAAATATTCAAGATATCTTCCTCAACTGAGTTGAGTATCCATAACACAGGAGAATCTTTAAAACCCTAAACCAGGGTGTCAAGGGCTTCAGCAGTCAACAGCAAATATGGTGTTTTCCGTTCTCCTACTCTTTCTGATACAAAAACCTGTTAATCACAGCTCTGCTGTTTCTCAGTTTCATCCCTTTAGGCTAAACCAATATTTCACAGTGTAGCAAGTGTCATGAGCCTTTGTTGTGTGAGCCAAGGGGCCTAGGAAGGGAGCCAGAAGTGAACCAGAACTACTGCACTATAGGACTTCAGCATGAATTGGGTCTGATAATGCAAAACAGACCAGGTCAGCTCCTTGAACAGGATGCAGTACACTGATGAGAAAAAGATTCAAAGAAAGAAGCCTAATGCCTTGTTCCCCATTTGTTTAAGATAACTAGAGTGCTAAACTAGAAGTGGAGGAAGAAGATATGTTCTCGGTAATACTACTAACTAGGGTGCAAGGTTTGTGTTGCTTTTGTTTCTTGGCTGCCTTGTCTTCTCCTCTGCCTCTTTAGTTTGCAATCTGGATTAAAAGGGCTCATTACGATCTCCAATGAGATGTGCAGGTGCCAGCAATCCTGAATCAGGGTACCTGTTGCCTTCAAAATATCTCAGTTCTGAAGCTACTAGACTGGGTTATTTTGATCTTGCAAGACAGTCACTCACAAAAGAGATGTGTAAAACCTATCATTTTAGTTTTGGGCAACGCATTTTCATCTCCCCGTTTATGATTTCAAGTTGCTTTTGATTTGTGCAAGAGCTCTGCAAAGTTGTTGAATGGAAAAGATTGAAACTTGCCGATGGCCACCAAAAAAACTTCATAGTTGTGCATGACTTAGCCTTGGTCTGTTTTGATCCAGGCACATTTTCGCTGCTTTTCCCATGATGACAGATCTAAAACAACTCTTCAGAAATGTTGAGACACTTGCCTCCTAGCCACCGGAATTAAGGACAGTTCCCAACAATCCTGGAAACAGTTTGAAATAGGCATTGAGTGAATGAGGAGAGAGACTGGATGATACAGCTGAAACAGTCATTGAGTTATTTTGCTGTAAGACCAAATTCTGATTAAAAGAAAAAAACATCCATGAGTGACATTTAATCTTTAACGTCCAGGTGATACATTTTGTAGAAAATCATCAATACTAAACAGGTATGTAAAGATGGCGGCTAAGAAAACTTACTTCTTGGGACTACAGTTCCCAGAATATCCCAGCCAGGGGATTCTGGGTGTTGTAGTCCGGAAAGGCATGCTTTCTGAGGTCTGGGAAGGAGAGTTTCGGTCTTTCAGCCGTGCGCACTCACGGACGCACACCTTTCTACGGACAGATCCGTCACCAGGTGAGGCTGGTTGTTTTCATTCACCTCATGGTGGATGGTGGAGACAGCCGGAGAGCCCAAACAGCCCCGGCGGCATTCTCTCGAGAGGCGCTCCGGTTCTGCATCAGAAAGGCGGGCGAGCGAGGGAGGGACCGGCGGCATTTCAGCTCAGCCGGGGAGGAACAGGCATTTTCACTTCCTTATTCGCCCTCAGGAGCAGCGGGGACCGCAACCCCGCTGGTGCTGTGTAAAGTTCCCCTAGCAGTTTGCAGCGGGGAAGGCGAGCCAAAGCATGCCGGCCGGTTGCCCCTCTCTGACCTCTCCCTTTCTGTGGCCAGAGCGACGCTGAAGAGCAGCCTCGGCGGCGGCGGCGGCGGCAGGTGAGCTGCGGATGGGAGGCGCCGAGATGGACGAGGTGCGGAGGATGAGCTGCCCCTCCTCGGGCCAGGACCACCGCTTGGGGCCGCGGGGCGATCCAGAAGAGGAGCTTCAGGCCGTGCCGTAAGTCGCTGGAACCAGCTGCGTACTTGCACTAGAGACCGAGGAGCCCTCTCCTTTCCCCGTGCCGTAAGTCGCTGGAACCAGCTGCGTGCTTGCACTAGAGACGGAGGAGCCCTCTCCTTTCCCCAGCACAACTTTGTGTGTGTGTGTGTGTGTGTGTGTGTTGTTATGAGGGACGATGTTGGCCAGCTGAAGTTCACTGAACCCCGGAAGGGCCTTTCCCGGTGAGCCCTCCGTGTGTTTATGTCTTTATTGCTAGGTGAACCCCCTCCTCTCTCTGTGTTTGTGTGTGTGTGTGTAGGCTACTTTTACCATATCCACTCCCCTAGAACTACACATTCTGTGTTTTCCCACATGTACAATACTATTAAATAGGGTAGCAAAAAATAATAATAATAAACAAACAAATAAATAAATAAATAAATAAAAATCTGGGCATCCACAATTGTGAATCTCAATGGTACATTTGGCTTGTGGAGGCTCTTAACAACTGCACATACATGAATGTCTTCTCTGGCTGCCATTTAGGCCAGATTTATCCATCTGGTCTGGATCAGAAAGGTTGGCTAAAGACACACACATACACACACACACACACATGCATGGTTGGCTAAAGAGATTTATCCATCTGGTCTGGATCAGAAAGATTGGCTAAACACACGCACACGCATGCACACGCACACGCACGCACGCACGGTTGGCTAAAGACACACAGACACACAGAGACAGACAGACAGACAGAGACAGAGGAAAACTTGGGTGAGGATCAGAGCCCTGCTGAAAATCAGCAAAAAGTTTGCTGCTTCCTTCTCCCTTGCATGTCACAGGGCAGATGCGTGTTTCCTTGCTGGCCTTTGGGCTCTTGGCTGGAGCTGAACAGCGTTAAAAGAGAGAGAGAGAGGAGAAAACATTTTATGAAATGGCAAGTGGTTTCTCTAAAGGAACAGAACAGCTTTGCTGGAGTTCAGCTACAAATGTTTGGTTCATTGAAAAGCCGCTGGGGTTGATGTTTTGGCCCATCAAGTCACTCCCAATTTACGACAACCTTATTCACATTCTCAGGGTAGGTGAGATGTTCAGTCTTGGTTTTACCACTGCTGTTCCACCCCCCCATGAATTTCCATGGATGAATAGGGATTTGAACCTGGGTCTCCAGAGTCCTAGTCCATCACTCTACACCACTCTAGCTCTCAAAAAGCCTTAGCAGACTATTTTACCGTGTTTTAAAGTGTTCAGGCTCTGAAAAATCCCCTAATCTATATATAAGAAATAATGACAGTTTTTTTAAAAAAGCTTTAAAGACTAAATCTAACAGAGGGAAAGGAAGTGTTGTTTCCTAGCTGTTTTGTTGTCACAGTATTGACTGATAACTGTCTGTGTGTCACTTATGTAAACCCCCCCCCCCATTGCCTATTTCCCAGTGGTGGAATGTTGTGGTTTTCACTGGAAGTCTGTAGTTTCTGTTAGCTGGGAGGAAATGATTTTGAACATCCTGCAAGAACTATAGTGACAGCTACAGAGTGTTTATTATTCAGGACTTGATAACCGCATAGCCTGCTTCATAATCACATCAGTTCTGGTTTTGCCCCATGATTTCCAAAAGGTCACATGTTTCTGACCTCCAGACCACGAAGATCTTGAGTGTTTGAATTGCCTCCCTAATGTGGATGCCCAGAATCTTACGTAACCCACACCTGTCTCATAGCCACTGGAAAATCAGCATGGAGTATATAGATAGGTGCCACATAACATCTTAAAACAAGACCAAGAGGTGGGTGGGGATTCCAAAATGCAGATGGGGGCTTATATAATTGAATGGTTTGCCATTCAGCAGGAGTCCCTATGTACAGTGACGTTGCTTGTGGCTAGGATGACAAGACAAAAGAAAGCTACATCTGTGGATCAGAGACTCCTGAAGTTCAACAATTACTCTGAGTTTAGCAGAAAATATTCTAAGTAGGAAATAGTTGGGCTTCCCTGTGGAAAAATACAGAGTTTTTATTATGCAATGAGCAGAAATTACTTTCCTTGTGTGGATCGTGTATCTTCCTGAAAAGTAAAGTTAGCAAGGAGGTACTACAAGAATGTGGACGGGAGTCTGTGAAAGAGTAGGAGGTGGAAACTCTGTACTTAACATAGTATTAGAAATAAAAGCAGGATTGCGATTCAGGGAGCTGTGCATTTGGTCATTTATACCTTTTGTATGAGCTGGAAGATTTTATGTACATATTTATGTTTGTTTATTCTATCCTTCCTTCAAGGAGCTCAGGATAAGATACAGGCTTCTTATCTCTTATTATCTTTCACAACAATCCTCTCAGGTAGGTGACTATCCCAAGACCATTCAGAGAGCTTCAACACAGATTAAGTGATATCTTTGAAGGAAATGAAATACTGTACTTTGTACATTAGCAAAAGATGATGTAATGGAATAACATTGGTGATGTGTAAACACTCTGATATACTTGAAGACACAAGTAGCTTAGGAAGAGGATAACAAAAACTTCCGGCTACTTCTCATAAATTATTATTCCTTAAAGGAATGGTGGAAATCTCTTTTGAGACAGAGTTGGAGTCTTGGAATGCTTTTAAGATAAACTTATTTAATGTGGCATGTCCTTTCACATACTAAAGCAAGGAAGAGAAGAAAATAGTTCACGATCTAGTATAGGCCTATTTGTGATTTGCAATAAATTAGCAAGGATTTCTGGTTCCCAGCTGCTTAACAGTATTGCCTACGCACTGATGCTTCTTCCAGCAGTCCCCATCCCCCTAATTAGAATACTAAAATAAAAAAAGCTTGCAGTAAGAAGAGTACTTCTGATAATAAGAGTCATTTTTGTGTGGTTGAAGGACAATGAGCTCTGTTTCATTTGAATAATCAACACAAATTCTAAGTGTATATCTTTTGCACTAAGCTTTGGTTGGTAGATCTTGAAGTTCTAGTAAAACACAACAAAACAAAGAAACAGAAAACGCCTTGATACTGCAAACCTGAAAGTTGATGCTATTATCCACTTGTATTTATGATGCTATAGAAGATGTCTTTGTGTGTTCGCAGTAATAAGGTATCATGGCTACTCCTCTTGTGTGTGTGTGTGTGTTGGGTGTTTTTTTTTTTTTTGGTATCTGCGCCTTCTCTGAATATCAGTTTGATTGGTCAATGAATATAAAGTCACAATATGAGCCTCTTGTTGCAAGCTTAGCTTTTGTGTTTTAATTATGATGAAGAGTTTAAAGATAAAGATGAGGGCTTAATCAAGATCAGGGTTTTCTCTTGCACTGCAAATATTTAATTAGCACAGAACAGCTAGGAGAGTTATATTGGCACCAGTTATTGCTATTGTGATTGCTCAAGGGCTCACTTTGTATGTGTCTGCTAACATTGCTGACACAATCATCTCTGAAACCTTGAAGTAGGGTTGAAATGCTGGATAGCTCAATGGTTTAGGCTGGGAGTTTGATTCCCCATTGTGCCTCCTTGACAAAGGCTGGACTCGATGATCCATAGGGTCCCTTCCAGCTCTATAATTCTAAGATTATATTACAATATTATTCTGTCACTTTCTGGTAAACAAAACTACAACAAATGTTATGGTCAGCAAAGGACAAAAGGGAACCCCTCACCACTGTAGGAGTATACTGGGTACCTTGCAGTTGTGGCCAGGTATATATTGGGACCGCAGAACATAGCATCCACACCAGAATCAAAGAACATGAAAGACACTGCAGACTAAAACAACTGGAAAAATTGACAGTAGCTGAACATGCCCTGAAACAAGCAGGACATGAAATCCTATTTCAAAACACAGAGGTACTGGACAATACCAGCAATGATTATGCTAGACTACACAGGGAAGCCATTGAAATCCACAAACATCAGCAAAGCTTCAACAAAAAGAAGAAAGTCTAAAACTCAACAAAGCCTGGCTCCCAGCACTGAAAAATACAGCCTGCAAAAAGGTCAACGAACTCTACCCAGCCACAAGGACCGGTGATCACTGCACACGAAGGACTAGCTAATGACACCCATCAATCACAGTGACAGATTATGTCCCCACTTATCAAAACAATACACCTATAACAAAAAACACCCCGATCACCATGATCACCCAATCTCCTGAAAAGGGCAAAAAGCTGATCCCACAACTACAGGTACTCAACTGTCCCAAACACTACACCAGAATACAGAAAGAGTTCTAACTCCTGTCTTCTGAGGATGCTGGCCACAGAGACTGGTGAAACGTTAGGAAGAAAAAAACCTCCAGAACATCCCGAAAAACCTACAACAACCAAAACCCTAAAAACTGCTTCTTTATCTGAAGCATTCAGTCATCTATATCAGCGGTCCCCAACCTTTTTGGGACCGCGGACCGGTTGGGGGGGTGCAGGCTCTGTGCATGGAGGGGCAGGGGTGCCCCTGCGCTCATGGGGGGGTGTGTTATGCTCGCGGGTGGGCGTGTCACACTTGCGGAGGGGTGTGCTGTGCTCATGCATGTGCGCAAGCACGACAGGCCCCTCCGCGAGCGCAACATGCCCACTGTGCATGCGGGGGGTGGGTGGAGATCTGTCTCCGCAGCCCAGTTGCAGGAAGCCCATGGACTGGCACTGGGCCACGGACCGGGGGTTGGGGATCCCTGATCTATATAACAGTCATAAAGTCCCAAAATATAGAAATTGAATTATTGATATTGCACGTACTATTCCTTCCCAAAGGGGATAGTCTTACCAAATGTGAATAAAGGTGTCTGTTGCTTCCACATTACTGACATGTTTCTTCTTAGTCTCCATATATGTGACTTGCCCTGTTTAAGCAACCTTATTAATATTGAACTACATTTTCCAATCTTGTAGAGCACTTTGGCTCCCAGTCTGGGGGATGTGAAGAAATTCCTAAGGGCAGGGTGCATAAAAGTCAATAATTTTTAAAAAATCAGATTGATTTAAATCACAATTTAAATAAAAAAGTCATTTTAAAGTCATCCAAAAATCCATTTTTT